GAAAATGGTGAATATACTCAAACTGAGTTGTGAATTTCACCACCATTTTTATAAAAAGAATCATTTAAGGAAGATGGGGGAAAGTTATATCCATTTTACAGATGAGAAAACTGGGCTCAGAGGAAACACCCAACTGCCAAGAGGGGGTTCCCCCACCATGCCTCAGGCCAGTTCAGAGCCACCTCAACCCCATGCTCTGCATTTCTGGGGACCTCTCTCTGGGACATTTGGATACCCACAGATCTGGAGAGAGCCAGCGGAGTACCACAGCAGGGCACCCCTGAGCCATGAGCTCCATCGACAGACAAGGCTGCCACAGGAGAAGAGCTGAACATCCAGTAAGAAGTCTGGAGTCCCAGCTGAAAATTGAGAGGTCCCAGGAAAGGCTGGCAGGCCATGTGGGAAATGGGCAACGGCAAATACGATTCCTAAAAGGTAAATGAGAGGCTCGGCTTCCAATGGACCTCCAGCTTGTGTCCTAACAGGGCGGCCTCAGGACCCAGGGTGGCAGAGACAGAGGCACAGAGGTGCCTGCCAGGCCCAGGGCGCCCTCCCTAGATCCAGAGGTCCGCTCAAGATCCCTGGACACCCAGCTTCACCACTGCTCTTGCTGCCTGGGAAGCCTTCCCTGCCCCTTGCAAACTCTTGGCTGTCCTTCGAGGCCCACCTGAAGTGGAACTCAGCCCTGGGCGAGTCATTCCCTCCCTCCAGCTCCGCCCCAGGGGCAGGAGCAGTGGTGTGGCATGTTTCTCTCACCTCCCCACGCCTGCCAAGCTCACTCACTTTTGGTTCCCTGCACCTCATACTGAACCCAGGGCCAGGAAAGGTGAGGGTTCTGGAGAAGCTCGATGCCATGCGGTGCTGTCCCACCTTAAGGCACATTCCTGTATCCACAGTCCCTCCCTCTACTGAGAATAGCAACTTCATTAATAACAGCAGCACCTAAAGCTTTCAGTTACTGGAGCCTCACGCTACCTAAGGGCTCTCCAGGCACCATCTCCTTTCATCCATGCCACATCCTTATAAGTTAATCCTGTCACACCAGAGAACCAAACACTGTGAGCCACAGAGCTAGGGAGTGAGGGAGCTGAAATTCAGCCCTGGTGGGGTGTTCTTCATCACTACTGGCCCATGGGGAGCAGTCGTGAAGACCAGCTCTGAGTGGGAGAGGACTCGAGATTTCAAAAGCCAATGCTCTCCAGGCCCCCTCTTTCCTCAGGTCCCCACCAAAGACCCCAAAGAGCAACAGGGCCTCCTCCCAGCCCCGGCCTGCTGCTCCCAGGCCCATCCCATGCTGAGTGCCAGTTACAGGAAACATAAAAGGCCCGTCTGCGAGAGCCTGGGCCTGGACAGGGAAGTGCACAGCTGCCCACGAGGAGGCAGAGCCATGATTTGGGGCTATTCTTAGCAAACCACTGGCTCCCCTCCCAGAGGCCTGGCAGGCAGCAGGCCCCAGCTTCCACACACTCTGCCTGCCATTACCCAGCACACAGTGGTCCCCCAGGGCTCAGAGGTGGCTGGTGGGCAGAAGTGAAGGCAAAAATCCTCTGGCTTTCCAACCAGAAGCGCCTGCCTCCCGGACTGCCCAGAGCCAAGTACTGTGGCTGGTGAAGCACACTCTAAAGGGTGCTGACTCTGGGGGAGGTTATCTCCAGTATTCACTGGATATTTCCAATTTAGCCCTTCTAGCACCTCCATGGCTCAGGGTTACTGACCCCATTTTAAAGATGAAGAGTTTGATCTTCTCGGCCCTCGCTGGTGGTGCAACAGTTTAGGACGCAGCACTGCAAGCTGGCCGCAGCCGCTTCAGTGCAAGCTCGATCCCCAGCCCCGGAGGTGACCACATGGCCCGGCAGACCTCTCCTGACCCGCCCGCTGCTCCCCTCAGCAGTGTGCTTTGTCCATCTGTTCTATTCCCCACTTTGTCTCTGGTGAATCCTCTCACCACCCCTGCACCTCTGGCCTGTACCCCAGTTCTTCATGCATGAATAAATAAATCTTAAAAAAAAAAAGTTTCATCTTCTTAAATATGCGTTAGTTAGGACATTAAGTAACTTCCCCATGCAGGGAGTGAGTGCCAGGCTGTGTCAGACTCTGGCCTGGCCCCCAACCTCCAGGTTGGGCAAAAGAGAGGTAACCACAGCTATGAAGTGGAGGGTCCCTCACCATCTAGGTGCAGAGTTTGGGGACAGTGCAGGTCACACCACAGGGCTATAACCTCATCAATGACCCCATTGTAGGTCTACCAGGGGTTGTCCCTGCCAAGAGTCCCCACCAGGTTCCTTCCCGGTCCTGGCCACCCAGTCTCACTCAGGAAGCTCTGGAGACCCAGGGAAGATGAGAACTCCAAGGTTCAAAGGGCCCCTGCTTCTGCTTAAGGCCCGTAATGGAGGGAGTGGGGAGGTCAGTTGAGTAAAACAGACAATACTTAGCCCTTCAGAGTCTTCGAACCCCAAAGCGGGAGTCTAGAAATGAAGGTATGCCACAGCGCACCACCACCCCGAACAGGACAGCCTCTGGGCACTGCTGCCACAGGGCAAAACGGGGAGTTTAACAGTGGCCCCCAGTCTACATCTCAGCATCCTATTCAGCCTTCATCTGACACTGCTGTCAAGAGAGGCAGGTTTAAGTGTCTGTGTCCCAGGAGCCCAGACTAACTCCATGTGTGCTCAGCCACTTCTGAGGGGTCTCGCATCTGTGAACATCAGTTCACATCCCTGTCTGTGCTCCAGGGGGCCCACCGGTGTCTTCCTACTTCCACATCTCCCTTCCATGAGGCTGCCAATCCTCCTGCCGCTGCATATCTGTCTACAGGTGTCTGTGGCCCATGTGCGGCCCATGTTTCTGTGTTCACATGTCTGTCCTTGAATGTGGCTGCAGGTCTTCCTGTGTCTATCTTCATGCATGTCTGCATTCAGATCCTCTCTGTCTCTGCCTGGATTGGACCATAACCTGAATGTGCACGTGTTTCTGCCCACACCAGCATCCCCCACCTGAGGCCAGGTGACCCTGTGTGTTGGAGGCAGGTGTGTTCATCAAGTGTTCCCAGACTGGCCAAGGGTTGAGGTGTGAGCTCAGCACCTGTCTCCACTCCCAAATCAGCACCCAAGGCCACAGGCATGAGCACACTGCCATCTCTGCAAAGTGGTCCAGAAAAGCGGAACCTGCTAGAAGTGATAAGAAAGAGGCAGAACCCCAGACACCACAGGACCACACAGGTGAGGCCCATGCTGCCCCAGGTGCCACTTACCTCAGGCCAGACCTGCTGCCAAACTCTCACACCCAATGACCAGTTGACCAGTGGTGTGGGGGGCGCCTGTCTGCCTTCCAGGAAACAGTGTCAGGCCACAGGTCTCCAGCCTCCCCAGCTCATCTCCAATCCCTATGACAGAGATTCTTTACACAGGAAGTCCAGACTTGAATCTCTCTATAAAGCTGGATCTAGACCCAGGAGCCCCAGGGCAACTGTGAGAATCCTATACTCAGCCTGACCCAGAAACCAAACAGGTTTCTGCAGAAATCCACTAACAGGAAAACACACACAGAGAGAGACACAAGCTGGAGAGGCCTGCAGGGCTCAGATGCACTGGAGGGTCTCACCCCTGGCTGTCCCCCGTCTGCAGAGGTGGGGAGAGGGCCTCATGACCAACAGGAAAATAAGGAAGGGTTGGTGTGGGGCTAGAACACTTTAAACACATTTTCAAGATGCATGAGAACTGGCTCCCAGCAGTGGCAGTGACCACAGTCTCTGTCGCTCACTTGGTAATTAATCATATGCAGCTTCTTGGCATTTCCACTGTTAGTACTAGTCTTGGCCTGGTATCAGAACCCCATTATCAGCAAACTTTTTGTGTGTTTATGTCTGTCTTCACCCGTGGGGTTCAGCCACCTGAGGACAGAACTCTTCAACTCCTCCCACATACCCTCTGCAGTAGAGCCCAATGCCTGGCATTTAAGAGGGGCTGTGCGAAGGGGTCTGCTCTGCACAGAAACCAGGAGCTGGTACCTAGACTCTGGCTGGAGGGGTAGAGCACAGAAGCTTGTCACTCGGAAAGCTTTTCTTCCACCCCTGACTCCCCAAAGATAAGAATCATGTTCCAATCATCCTGGCCATTTCAAAAGTACAGTGGTCAGGGCCCTCCCTGGTGGCGCAGCGGGTTAAAGCACAGCACTAAGAGCTAAAGCCACTTCAGCGCGAGTTCGATCCCCGCCTGCCCAAGAGGTGACCACATGGCGCTGCAGACCTCTCCTGACCTGCCCGCTGCTCCCCTCAGCAGTGAACTCCGTCAGTCAGTCTGCCTGCTCTGCTCCCCACTCTGGTGAATCCTCTCACCATCCCTGCACCTCTGGCCTGTACCCAAGTTCTACGTGCATCAAAAAAATAAATCTTAAAAAAAAAAAAAAGTACAGTGGTTCTGAGCCCCATTCGCCATACTGCTTCCTGGCAGGTCACAGCCCCTCAGGACAAACCTCTGAAAAAGAAAGGGGCTCTCCCGGGAGACCAAAGCCCACGAAGGAAGGCCAGATGGCCGGGGATCAAAGCCTGTGACCCCTGGAACCTTTGAACTCTTCTCTGTTCCAACGGCTCCAAGCCCTCTAAAGATGAGCCCAGGGACCACGAGCCCAGCTGCTTTCCTCCGTTCCAACTTCATAGGAAGCCTGGGGCCAAGCCGCAGGCCTAGCTACAAAGAGTGGGAGAGTGAGGCTGTGGCCAGTCCAGTCTACCCCAGGCTACCCCAGTCCGAGGGAAACCTCAGGGTGGGCGGCCCAGGGTCCCACGACGGGAGGACTCCGTAACTGCTCGCGGTGTAACCTGGAGGTCCGGCTTCTCTCCCGGGCGCCGACCCCGCGCGGAGGGAGTCCGGGATCTCTCCTCCCCAGGAAGCCGCGTTCCCGAGGAAAGGGGAGTGGGTGGTCAGCGCAGTCCCAAGCTCCCGGTGCCCAGAGGACTGCCGGGTCTGCCCTCCCCTCGCCAGCCCAGGGTCAGAACCCATCGGTACCTGCCAGCCCACGGCTCCGGGGTGCATCCGCGCTCCTGCAGCCGGCGCGCTGCGCCCTGACTGCGGGCGCCAAGTCAAACAACAGCGAGGCGCGCCCGGCGCGGGCTCCGGCTCGCTCCTCCCTACTTCCCAAGCCCATCCGTGGGCAAAGAAGGCTCCGGAGGCGGGCAGGCCAGGCTACAAGAGGCGAGGCCAAGAGAGCGGGAGCCCGTGCTCGCGGGCAGTACAAGCCGCGCGCCCCAACCCCAGCGCGCCGCTCACAGCCCCGCGCCCCGCGTCCCCCACGCCGAGGGGCGGACCCGACTGGGCCGCCAATCACCGCGGCCGCCGCCGCCGGGCCAGCGGGAACCGGGGTCCCAGTCACCAAGGGGGCGGGGGGGCTCGGATTTAAAGACACACTCACCCTAGCCGGCCCCCATTGGCATCCCACAGCCGGGAGCCCTGGACTGGGAGGGAGAGGCTAGCCTCACCTAACCGGGCGTCGCTTCCCGGCCTCTGCAGGCCCACCCTCTTCAAGAGGGAAAAGTTTGGGCCGGGAGCCGGCCTAGGAAGCTAGTGCCTCCTCCCTTGTCATTAGCTCGCTGTGTTCTGGAGGCTGCCTAAACCCTCCTTCCAGCCTCCCTGGCTGGAGAAAGAACCAAATGCTCTCAGGGCCACATACCCCAAACCCAGGCTGCGACTCCCAGAGGGATTCCTGCACCCCTCTGCTTTTTAAAACCGGACTGGGATTTGGCGAGACTGAGACAGTAGTCAGGCTCCAGAACTTGTTTTCCTATGCTGTGCAGCCTGAGATAAGCGATCGCCCTCTCTGAGCCTCAGTCCCCCCAAGTGTCAAAGAGTGAGTCTTAAGGAGTAGAAGGTCCGCGGGCTGTTACCCCAAGCTTTTGACACCCAATGAAATGGGCCCCTCACCCCCCCCCCCGGGGCGAAAATGGAAGAGCAGGGTCAGAGACTTCGACATGGGAGAGTTCCCTCAGCCCCTACCCTGGCTCTGGCAGTGACAAGTGCAGTCCACACTGGCTCCAGCACTGTGCCCTTCCGTCAAAAACCCCTGAGGCTCATGTTTGCCCACAAAGCCCACAGATACCTCCCTGCTTGGCTTTCATTCACTCTCACTCTGCCCACATATACCCCCCCAAACCCCCCCCCCCCCTGCCTTCTCTCTCTCTCTTTCTCTCTCTCTCTCTCTCTCTCTTTCTCTCCCTCCCTCTCTCTCTCTCTCCCCCCCCCCCCTCCCCCTCCCCCCTCCCTCCCTCCCCCTCTCCCTTTCTCTCCCCCCCCCCCCCCCCTCTCTCTTTCTCTCTTGCTTCCTCTCCAGAGGCAGGCTTTGTTGTCTTTGGTGAGTCACTTCCTCTGTCTCTCACATCCACACTAGGGAAATCTCCTTCCTCACCTGTCATTACCTGCCTCCTCCCCTATTAGGCTTGGAACGATTGTGGGTCTTGCTCTAACCCCAGCTCCCCAGGTTGAAGGCAGAGCAGGCCAGAGGGCTCTGGGCTGGGAGAGGACCCACAGGCCACATCCCCGCTGTGGCCTGAGACTAAACTTGACTTCTCTGATCTGGCATCTAGCACCTAGGTTTCACATGCTTCACCTAGAGGATTCTCTGAGGATTCTTTATTGTTCCTATGTTAATAGAAGAAACTGAGGCCCAGAAGATTTGGCCTCAGCTACAAGTCACCTCCTATCCTACCCAAGGTGCAAGGAGTTGAGAAGCAGAGAAAGTCCAAACATGGCCTTAAGGAAGACCCCATAGTGTGCTATGCAAATATGCATATATTCCTGCACACGTACACACATTCTCCCCAGCCCACAGACGGTTGCCAGGCTCTCTCCAGGAGGAGAAAATTCTGGTTCTGACCTGTCTCTCAACCTTTGATGCAGTGTCTAGCACATTGTCATTCACTCATTTGTATTCACCATGCACACAGTAGGTGTTCTTGTTGAATCCAGGAGAGAAGCCCAAGGAAGTAGATGTCGATAGCCAGCCAAGCCTATACCCTTAGGGCTCCAACAGTTTCTGGACAGGGCTGGTAGAGCCCAGAGCAGAGGGCTGGGGGGTTGGAGAGGCCCCCGGGGCAGGCCACAGGCTGTGTCCAACCTCACTAACCCAACCCTGGACCCCCAAGTTTCTTCCAAGTCCCTGCATAGAGCAGCCAGTCCTGTATCCCTGGCCACTTGCTGGTCTTGGGCTGGAGCCCCACCCCCCCACTAGAAAGTCTTCAGACCAGATTCACCCCACCCTGGACTTGGGAAGTTGAGGGGGAAAATGTTGAGGCAGAGAAGGAAGGGACACGGAATAGCCCTCAGTTTCCCCACAAAAACACTCTGCATTCCCTTCCCAGCCCCAGACAGAAGAGACAAATCAGTTGGGTCAACTCTCTCAAACTGCTCCCAGAGAAGTTTAGAAACTCAGAGCAGAGATCCAAAAGTACCCAGAGGAACGGTTATTCCGGCTCCCAGAACCAACCTCAAGACCTACTTCCACTCTCCCAGCGTCCCACAAGCACCCCACATCCCACACACACTAGGGCCCAAGAGATCATTTCATCATCTACAGCATGCAGGGCCCTGTGAATGGCCCCACAAATATTCTTGTACTTGAAGACAAGTGTGTGTGTGCTGCTCATGGGTGAACTCTTGTTGCAGGGATGTGAACCCAGGATCAGCATCTGTGCAAGTATTCACTAGGCAGGAGCATGGTGTGTGTGATGCACACAAAAACCAATCCAGCACAGCCCGGAGACAGCCAAGCTGCCATGCAAAGAATAATGGAAAACCCTGTTTCATTATTACTCACAATTCCAGGAGATTTGCCTCTGGCTGTCCTCAGCCCCTCTGTCCAAGTGAGCAAGGTGCTTGTGATCTGGGAGAGAGCTCCCAGGTTTAGTTCCTGTGAAGAAACATAAACTTTGGGAACCCCAACCCCACGTGGGAAAACTCAAGTCAGGAATTATTTCCTGACAGGCACTTAACGATTCACCGGAAAGCAGAGGAGCTGGGTCCAAACTGGCAAAGACGAGATATGACAGATGAGTAACTGGCCCCACTGTTCTCTGCTTCTCAATCGGTGCTGAAGCCACCACAGGCTGGGGACACTGGGCCAGAGGGATGGATGATATCAGGGCAGCGAGCCAGCCTGGCCTGGATCCCGATAACCACATGGCAGCTAAGAACTAGGACCCACATGGGCCTCTAGGGTGGGTGTCTTGGGGTACAGGTTTCTCCTTGAGCCAGGCAGTCTCTGAGCCTCAGGTATCTCACACCTGCTGCCTGAATCCTGGCACAGACCCATGCCCATCACCCTGGCTACCTCTGGGTCCCTGCCCTGGCCGCCTGGCCTTCCAGGCCCGCTACCCAGCCCCAGCTTCCAGCCAGCCTAAGTGGGCCCCAGCTGTGTGCGGTCCAGGGCTTGAAGCCACAGACTGCCCTGGAACTAGCTTAGGAATTTCATCACTGTGTGACACCTACCCTAAAAATCACCATATTTCCCCAAATCTCATTTTCCTCCATTATAAAATGGTTTGAAAAGCAGTTCCTGCTTCTCCGGAATGTCTGGAGGATTGCCTGGCGCTCAGCCAAAGGTCACTGCTAGTGACAACTGTAGTTACTATTATTGCTGGACAAGCTCCAACTCTGACCCGGCCCTGAACCAGCAAGCACAGAGAGGCTCTTCAAGGCTGAGTTCAAGTTCTGCCTCCTCCAAGCAGTCTTTCCTGCTTGCAACATCTCCGTCTGCTCTGGACTCATTTCCTTCTCTGTTCAGTGATGGGACCTGAGCACTCCTGGCTAACACAAAAATGCATTTTCAGTAGTCAGTGAGACCATGCATTTTGGGTGTCTCCTACTTTAAGTCTAGCCTGAGGATAACATCTCCCACTGCCCCAAATCACATACTAGATTCAGATTTTGACTGAGAAAAGTAAGAAATACATTTTGTACTAAGACTACCACCTATCTAGCACATGAATATAATGTTTCATTTGAAAAATACTTAACCATTACTGTGGGGATGCACTCTGATACTTCCTAATGTATCCTAATGTATCCTAATATTTCTTTTTGTTCCTGCTGAATGCACAGCACAAAACTCACCCAACTAGTGGCTTGCAGTTGGAAAATACTGCACTGGGGGCCTTCCCACTGGTGGTGCAGAGTTAAAGCACAGCACTATGAAGCTATCTGCAGCCACTGCAGCATGAGTTTGATCCCCAGCTAGGAAGCTGATCCACATGGTGCAGCAGACCTCTCTCTCCTGACTCATCTACTGGTCCTCTCAACAGTGTATTTCAGTAGATCTGCCTGTTCGGCTCCCCACTCTGTCTCTGGTGAATCCTCTCACAAGCACACAAACTCCAAACCTCTGGCCTGTACACCAGTTCTGTAGCATAAATAAATCTTATTTTAAAGAAAAAATACTGCACTGGATAAATGATGAGATCCAAGACAAGGGAGACCCCCCTACCTTCCTCAGCACACTCAGTGCCTGACTGAAGAAGACATAGACACGCAGGACATGAGGGAGGAGGGAGACTCTGTCTTCAGACCTATCCTTCAAGTACAACAGGGAGAGAACGCTGTCAGAAGAAAGAAAAGGAGGAAGGAATCCTAGCGCATTCATTCAACAAATATTCCCCTCAGTCAGCCAGTCAGTCAGTCAGTCAGTCAGTCAGTCAACAAACATTGACAGAGTCCCTGCTATCTAAGCCTCTTTCTAGTCCCTGAGCAAGTAGTGTAAAACAACAGAGAAGCATAGAAAAGAGCACTGGTGAGGCCACTTTAGGAATAATGGAAGTCTCTGAGCTGGGGCTCACTCTCTATAAAAGGCCGTGCCAATGCTGAGAGGCAATAGGGGGCGTAGGGAGACCTGCCTGTCTGGATGAGCCCAAAGGAGGCAGCTCCACCCCCCCCCAACCCCCCCACACTCCCATCCTCCTCCCACCCCACCTCACCCCAATCCCCACAGAGCACAAAGTGGCCTGGCCGTTAGCAGCAGGTTACTAGATGGACAGCTCAAGTCGGAGGCAGGTTGGGATAAGTTCCACAGAGCACGGGATTGTGCTGGGCTTCAGAGGAGGGTGTGAGGACGATGCTGACTACCGGGTAAGTCAGGGACCCGCACCAGGACTGACATGTCCCTCTGTGCTGACAGCCTCATGTGCTGCTCTGAAAGTTAGCGAAGCCCGGTTTGAGCTGTCTTCTCTCTGAGAGCAGTGACACCGAAGAGTTAA